TATATATATATATATATAAGCATATAACAATTCCGAAAATCAAATCGAATTAGCAAGGTAATAACATATGTAAAATACCTTTTCTTCTTGTAGAACCAATTTAATCGAGAATATAGTGTCTGGATTAAAACGATCTGGTACTTCCCACATACGGACAACACGAACTTTCAACTTCCATTGCATCTTCGAAATTGTTATATCCTTGATGAAATCAATGTGAGTAGCCATCTTTTGCATAAGCCGTAAGTTTTCTTGAAATCTTGATAGAAGAAGGAACTTTAGAATTGAAGAACGTGTAGTTGAGGAAGAAATATAAACTCCTCTACGCTTGAGCAGTTGATACCCACTATACGATACGTGGGTTAAGCAGTTGAATCCATCGTGCTTTTGAAGAGAAAATATAGGTTAAGTTGAAGGTAAAAAGTAATTACCTAATATTGTGGAGTAAAAGGTTTTAACAAATAAATTGATTTAATAATTTAAAAACATTAAAAATTGAGATAATTGAAGAGAAGTTTGAACGGTTTAGAACTGCAACAGGGGCGGAAGGCCAGTCCTATTTTTGAGGAAACGGGCTGTTTTTTTCAAATACAATGATTTAATAATTTAAATAAATTTTAAATTAACAAAACTGCACAGAAGTGTTTACGGTTTTTTCATGAATGGTTTGAATTTTACTTCCTAATATTTAGGAGCAATGTCTTAACATGCCATGTATCATTCTATTGTTCTGTGCTTTTGTCTTCTGCTTTTAATTATAGATAGATATGAAAGAGAGAATGAGACTTTTCTGAAAATGGCGAAGTTTCAAAGTTAAAGCAAGCTGGAATTTTGTCAAAGAGAGGTAAGGGGGTGGGGCCGACTGCATGAGATTTCAAAAAGTACCCTTACAAGTCTACATATTATTAGATCTAAGTCTTAAGAAAGGAGGACCATTGGATCGTTTTAATTTTAATCCTACGGCCAAGATAAGAGCTTCTGGTGATTCTTTTAAATGGTCTAGGCGGATTGGGCTTCGGTTGGAATTAAATGAAAATCTAATAAATTATATTTGGGCTCATTAGTCTTCAAAAGGAATTGTATTACATGGGCTAATCATTTTGGCAGACCTTGGGCTCATCTATAAAAATGGGTTATCCTTTGAGCCTAATTTGATGGCATTTTCTTTCTTCCTATTAATTTCTTTGAGCTTCCTTTGTCTTGCTAATTTGGACATAATATAATAATATGATAGACATAAAGATTATTCAAAATATGTAGTTAGTTTATATAAATAAAATATTATACTTAAATACTAATGACAATATCACTAATAATAATTATTATGGAATTAATAATAACTACCGCAACTAGTAATAATAACAATAATAATAATTAGTAATAATATTATTAACAGTGATATTAATCCTACAAGTAATATGATTATAATAATGGTAATAATAACCATAAAATAAATAATAATACACTATTAGAGCATTAATGACCAGGAAGCACAAGGAAATTAAATAGAAAAAAGTGGGACAAAATTGGATGTCAACAACAACAACCCAATATAATTTCACATGTGGGCTCTGGGAATGGAATTTGGGAAGGATAGTATGTACACAGACCTTACAACTTGATCAGGTATTATGAGTGTCAGGGATTGTGTGGGCGGGATTAGTGCTCGTTTTAGGCGTGTGTTAGGGTGTGTGGTGGGCCTATGGATATGTGTGTGGCTTTCTCTCTTGTGGTTCATTGTGTTGGTCTGACGCCCTAACATGGCTTTGTAAACTCCCGTTAATTGGGTTTGTGCTAACAGGCCCATTTCTAGAGTGTTGGCCCTGTTCATGTGGGCCTGTCCAATTCTTGCCCCGTGTTCCCCGAGGACAATGAACTTATTGGAATCCAGGTTGTAGATCTTGGTCACTGTTACGTCGTCTTTTACTACCAAATGCTTCTATTTTTGGCTCTTTGTTAGTTTCCCTTACTGCATGTTCTTTTGTCACGACCATTTTCTGAATAAGCTGTGACGGGCACCCGGTCGTTAAACTTGAACGAGCAAACCATCTGTACTTATCAAAACTATTATAACCTCAAACTTTATATGCAACAAAGGAAATACTTTGACTAAATACTTTTAATTAATTTAAATATCTAAAATAAACCAACTTTAAAAATTTATTCGTAGTAACTACTGAAATATTGCAAAGTTATTATTAAAAACACTTGAATCTTAACCCACTACACTTGAATCTTAACTCACCGACTGTGTCTATGAAACCTCCACTGATAAACTGACGCACTACTCAGGAGATGAGATTTCTTGGCGAGTTCTCTAAGTAAAAAAAGAAATATCTAAATAATGACGACTCAAAGAAGTACTCCACGAACAAAAGTGGAGCTCACCAATAGCAATTGAAGTGAGGGAAGTTCTAACTCGTAGCCTGCTCGCCTGCAAAACCAGTTCCTACGTTGTACCGCAGACCAACGTAGGTCCCCAAAAGAGAACGTCGGTACCATCCATTGTACTCAGAGAGTCTCAACGACAGGGGATGAAACTTTAATTAAAATATACATTACGAGCAAAGATTCTAAATATTGAAAAACATAAAGCTTATAAGAACGATTCTAAAATAATTGCATAATATGAGTTTATGAATATTCTAAAAGAAATTTTTTTCTTTCTTATAAAGAAAATATTCCACTTTATACTTTGGGAGTTCGAACTATCCTGACTAATTTCTGTCTTAGTCACCGTATGATCGGTACGAGTTCGATCCCAACCTGATCGAATAGGTCCAATCCACGAGGTGTCCCTCGCTTCATGGTTCTCGGCGCTCATGTATCATACCTTAGCCTGGCTAAGTAAATTCTCAGCAACGAAGACCTTCGGCTCGTGTGCTCCCTACTTTGGCACAAGTATTCAGGAAGTTAACACCTTGGTCAGAAACCTCGGCCGGGATGATAACGATACTCCCAAAAATCTTTTCTTTCTAAAACTTCTTCTTGTGTCAAGTCTCTATCTTTTATACATACTCATACTGTTATCCTTAAATGTAAGGCATGTCATAAGAATAAAATAAACATTCAAAAGTATTTCTAAAGATTCTTGCTTCTTCATATATTTTTTTTCAGCATGAAAATGACATATAAGAATTACACAAAAATCTGAAATTTTAAGCACATATATCAGAATAAATCATCTAAACTTTAACTAGAATAATTCTAAGCTAATAGGTACCCACTCACTCCAATTAAGTACATATTAACTCTTTTAAGTAATTCATCAAACCCCTTGTATGCGTACTTTTGTGAGTTAAACCACTTTAGTAAAGGATTATATCAACTCACCTCAAAACTCCTCGAGCCAATATGTAGGCTTCGACCCAATTTATACATATCGACCAATCGATTCTACAACAACCAGAGTATCTTAATTAATTTTAAAGTTTCACACCTGAACATTGAACTTAATATTGATACAGAAAAAGAAAGAAATTAACTATTCAATTCTTATATTGTAGGATAATTGAGCATATAAAATTTATATACCTTAATTCAAGAATTAGTAATTTGTAAAGAAACCTAGAATTTTATGCTTATGGTTCTTGTCAGTAGAAGTCTCTGCCTTTTTTGTTTTGGTTGTTTTGTATTCTTTGAAATTTTACTGGCCACTCTTTCGTCCAAGGCTTTATGCCTTTAGCTTACAATGGAATCTATTAGTATATGGGCTTTAAGCCCTATTCTTAAATGTCTTATTTTGCTTTTTTTTTTTTTGACTTATTAAGTATTTAACGATACCCACTTTTAGAGGGTATTTGGCTAAGCTTATAAGTTGGTTAAACTGACTTATAATCACTTTTTGGCTTATCTATGCGTTTGGTAAAATTAAAAGTGTTTATAAGTTAAGTACTTATAAGCCAAAAATAAGCAAAAAGCCATAAATTGGTCTCCCTCAACTTATCAAATTTCAGCTTATAAGCACTTTAGGTTTAACCAAAATATTTACTATTCTATCCCTAAAATAATTCTTTTTAAACAAAACTCTTCGTATACCTAGTTCTTCAGTTGCTTATTATTAATTTCAGCACTTTTATCCAAACACGTAACTGCTTATTTTTTAAATAAGTTTCAGCACTTAAAAGTGCTTTTCAGCAACTAACGATTATCAGTCCCTCTAAATCAGCTAAGCCAAACAGGCTCTTAATAATTAATAATATTAAAAGTATTAATATTCCTCTAATTGTATATTCAATTATTTAAGTATAATTTTTTTTTGCACTCAAGACAATATTGAAAAAAATAATTTTATATTTTAGCGTGTCAAAATAATTTTATTTTTAGCGTGTCTTGAAACTTTTATAGATAGAAGGTGTGTGACATCTTTCTGGGGAATTCAACTATTTTCCAGTCTTGTAGACTCGATGGTTTTTGACTACCTGTTATGGATTCCGGCTACTCCGGTGTGCTTATGATTATTTTTAAGGGCATTTTCTTGTAGATATGGTCAATTCACCCACACTCTTCGCAGATAATACACACTATGGGTTGTTTGTGATCCCCAATTATTACTGATGCTTGAAGCGGTACCTTTGTTTGCACCTGAATACAGATCCGTGCGTATCTACCTCTTAAAGTAGCAGAGGTACACATATCTATCTTTAGGAGTTTGCGAATTCTTTTACCCACTTTTTCTAGAATTTTATTGTCATAAAATTTGGTGGGTAGACATGGATGTGACTTATATTTTTATGTTAGCAGGAACAAAGTTGGGTTCCCAGTTCTGAACAGATAGAAAATGACCCATGATGAACCATGATCCTCCGTGTAGTGCACTGATCATATTTTCTTCCTTCGCAAATCTTACTATAAAGAAGCCCTATCCTAGATCGATAAGAATGAACTGTTCCATTGGGGTCCAGAGTTGTTGGAGCTTGGTCCGCAGGAGGTGGTGGGGGATTTTTCTTCCAAACACCTTGATGACAAACAAACAATAACAACATCCCAGTATAGTCCCACAAGTCCAATATCAAGGATCGAGAATTTCCATGGTTGGTGAATTTTGAGTTTTTGCTCCTGCGACAGTGAGACCATACTAAGGGGAAGGGGATTTAAAAATTATAGAGATTGGTTAGGCTTTCTCTCTCTAACACCTTCACGAACTGTGTTCCATATATTTTCTTTGAACTTGGGGTTAGGGATGTACTTTTTGTGACTATAAAAGTATCCCTTTAAAAATAAAGTGAGAAGTCTTAATTTATATATTATTTTTTCATACAAACAAATTAGTTTTTTTATACAAACTAATATAAAAATAGTATCATATAAATCGTGTTTGGAGGTTGTTAATTGGATTCTAACAGCTAAAGTTAAGTACCTCCTTTCAAAGGGAATGCTAGTTGCAAAAATAACCACCCATAATGGTTATTACTGCTCCCCCCTTTGCCATTAATTTATCTCTTCTTTTCTCTGAACTAATAGTAGCAGTCAACTTCTTTACAAAGAAGTAAGGATCTTCAAGCTACTTTTGTTATGTTGGGCTTATATCCAGCCCAAACCCAATATACCCCTAATCGAGTCCATAAATTGACCGCTTCTCCATTCTCATTATCTTCTAAAAACTATGGCATGCAAGAAGGTGAATTGCAGACAACCTGTTTGATTAAATTCCCAAAGGAGCGGATGGTTACTCCAGTGAGCCGTGCTAGCTTTTAATCACGCAAATGTCCATTTTTGAGAAGTGGGCCTGTTGTAATTTCTATTAGCAAGTGAAAATATTTGGGAAACTTACGGTAAGAATGACAACTATGGCTCTGGGTAATGTTTGTTCGCTACAAATAAAGACTTGTGAGCTCTTTGGAATTTGTGTAAATCACTCATATACCCTTCCTATCCAAAATAAAAGTAAGTTTTTTGTCAATTGTTCTAAAGTTTATAGCTTTTCATAGTTTTTTTTTTTGGTACTGGAAATCCTTTTCTGCTGTGTACTTAGCTTTCTATATTATCATTTGTAGGCTTAGAAATAAAGCCATTGGTTATTCAAGCCACAGCTAAAGCTAATTCTCGAACTGAGAGTGCTAAACTTCGAAATAGACGAATTCGAAAAAAGGTACGTATGTTGTAAAATTATGCTCTTGATATTTTTCCCCAGACATAATTGAGGAGATTGGTTTTTATGACCGGTTACAAATTTTCTTGTAGTTATATGGATTTTTCACAGGAGATCAGTAAAGTATAACACATGAAATTGGTAAATAAAACACATGAGATTCTTTATAGCCCCAATTATGTACTACATTTGGCTGCACTAATAGGTAATGCTAGTGAACATGAATCATGTTACATGATTCGGTGCTGATGGGTTTAATTACAATTTTTTGTGTTTGGACAAGAGGGAGAAACTAGTTTAGGAGAATATAATTGGGAATGATGCATTTAGTGCTTTAGCTTGGAAGAGATAAACTGTAACTGGGCTTTAAGATCATACATTGTTGAGCAGAAATTAGTCATTTTTCCTTAGAACAAAACAAGTATAGAAAATTGAATAAGGTAAATGTAAAGAGTTTACTTTTATTCTTGGCATATTTTTGTATAGAAGTAGCCAACGATGACTTTGATTTTAACCTAATGGATTGCTGTTTCATACATTTCCCGGTTACATAAGGTCCGTCAGGCTTTGACAACATAGCTCTTTTATTAGGATACTCATATGTCATTTTTACTCACACATTGACATTTAAAACATTGCATATCTTTATGTCTAGTGGAAATAGGTAGAGCATTTGTACTTTTGCCCTTGTCATCCTTCTATCCATTGCCTTTGTAAACTTGTAGCTTAAGCTTGCTTCTCATCTTCGGGCGTGTTTCAAGTTCTCTGCAAATGTCTTTTGGCTTGTCCCATGTTGATGAAGTTTATTTGCCTTTTTCTTGATTTGTTCTACCATTTGGCTTGCCAAATGCAATGCTTAATCTTAATTGTTCTCTAAAATCATTTCATGAACTCTCTCTCTCGCACAAACACACACAGCATATATGTATAACTTTATTGATTCACTGTAATCATTAAACTTCTTCTCGGTCTTGGCAGTTTAATGGAACTCCTGAAAAACCAAGACTTTCAGTCTTCTGCTCAGAAAAACAGTTATATGCTACATTGGTGGATGACCAAAATAAAAAGTCTTTATTTTACGGGAGCACTTTGCAAAAATCAATCCGGGGTGATCCACCATGCAGCACTGTAGTGAGTATCTTTAGCATATTAAGACATAATTATAAATATGTTAGTGCAAATTTTATAGTGAGTGGTATTTCAAGACTGCTTAATTTGAAGATGGGATCTCAGTTTTCTATGTTTTCTTGTTCCAATGCATTTTGGGATTTTCAAGTCATAGCATCATCCCTTGACTTTGTCCCTCTCAATCACAGGAAGCAGCGGAACGTGTTGGTGAGAAACTTGTGCAGACTTGTGTTGATCTCAACATCAATGAGATTTCATCTTATGATTGCAATGGTTTTGCTGGAGGAGAAAGAATGCAAGCGTTTGAGATTGCCATTTCTCGCCATGGTTTCCTGTCCAGATAGTTTCTTCCTTCTTTTCTATGTGAATTATTTATAGCCTTCAGAAGTCTGAAGCTTTCTCATAGGGGCTAGGGATGGCAATAGGACAGGGCAGGTGAAGCATTGCCCTGCCCCAAATTCAACACGCCCTGCCCCAAATTCAACACGCCCTGCCCTGTTTAACAGTGTTTCTCTTTTTCAACCTGCCCCGCCCCGCCCTGCCCCGTTTAGCTTTTTTGTTTCTTCCTTTCTTTTAAGTTTGGAACTGTAACTATTCATGTTATTATAAAAAGAAAGATGAATATGATTTCCATGATAAATCTGATAACGGTATGGCTTCGGTTTACATGACGTAAAATTACTTTATTAAAAACATGTCATTAAGGCTAAAATAGAATGATGTCTTTCTTTTGACAAGAGATTAAAAAGGAAAAGAGTGTAGTATAAAATAGAATATCATATCTGTACATGCAAAATTAACATTTTGACGTGGAAGACAGCAAACACAACGCTTTAATCAAAAGAAGTTCAGAATCATAGACCGTACATCTACTGACATAGTAAGTACTAATAGTTGTACCCAACAGTTGATTGACTTCTTCTAATGTATGTATGTGTATATCTACCTAAAGACCTGGAGCAATAAACCCTTCAAAAACCACTGGAGTTCACTGTAGCTGCACCCTTGCTCTTGCTTCATTTAACATATTCACAAAATATCTCCCACCCAAGATCCACCAATATTACATAACCAAATGTTTGCCTAGAATTAATAACAAAATTGATCTCCAAGATCCTAACCACCAGATTGCAAAGCGTGATGGGTGACCTCATAGATTATAGCCAATCAGCTTTTGTGCCCGGGAGAATGATAAGTGACAACATTATCTTAAGTCACGAACTAGTAAAAGGATAGGGAAGAAAAGGGATTTCTCCAAGATGTATGCTAAAAGTGGACATGCAAAAAGCATATGATTCACTAGAATGGAAGCTTATTGAACAAGTACTGATACATATGAACTTTCCTAATTTGTTCATACAGTGGGTCATGGATTGCATAAGTTCAGTTTCATACTCTACTGGCATTAATGGATGGCCTACGGAGCCATTTGCAGCTAAACGAGGATTGAGGCAAGGGGATCCTATACCCCCCTTCCTTTTTGTTCTCGCTATGGATTACTTTTCCAGAATGTTGAAAGGACTGAGTGAACAACCAAATTTCAATTATCATCCCATATGCCAGAAAATGAATTTGATACAATTAGGCTTTGTTGATGACCTACTATTATTCTGTAGGGGTGATTTAATATCTGTTCAGATGCTTTATGACTGCTTCCAGGAGTTTTCTCAGGTATCTGGTTTGATAGCAAATAAAGAGAAAAGCTCTATCTACTTTGGAGGGGTGAGAGATGAGACACAAAGGGCTATAATGGAGATGATTGGGTTCAGTAAAGGGGAGATACCATTTAGATATTTGGGTGTACCATTCAGTACAAAAAGACTGTCAATCAACCAATGCCAACCTTTAATTGTTAAAAGCTAGGAAGGATTACAAACTGGACATCAAAGTTCCTTTCCTATGCAGAAAGGGTTCAGTTGATAAAAAAATTTCTTTTCTCCATTCAGATTTACTGGTCACAGATTTTTGTTCTGCCTACTAAAGTGATAAAGCTGATCGAAGCTACATGTAGAAGATTTCTTTGGACCGAAGGAGTGGAATTGACAAAGAGAGCATTACTTGCTTGGGAGAAAGTATGTTATCCTGCTAGTGCTGGTGGACTTAATATCCTAGATATAGCTATATGGAACAGAGCAGCGATTAGCAAGCTATTATGGAACCTATGTTGTAAAAAGGATAAACTCTGGGTTAAGTGGGTTCATAATTATTACATCAAGGGTGGACAAATTTGGGGTGCAGTACCTAAACAAGCTTCATGGGTAGTGCAAAAAATTGAAAAGATGCAAAGTTATGTCCAGCTAGCCGGGATCGTGGAAGAAGACTTAAAAAGCATGACGGCCTTCTCAATCAAGAAGATGTATCTAATGATGAGAGGTGACTTTCCAAAAGTTCAGTGGAGGAAAATGGTTTGCAACAACTATGGATCTCCCAAATGGATCTTTATTTTCAGACTAGCAGCTCATGGGAGATTGCCCACAAAAGATAGATTGATGAACTGGGGAATTGTTGACAATCAAATATGTCCGATATGTGCTTTTCAGACAGAAAGTATATCCCACCTATTTTTCCAATGTAAAGTTTTTGCACAGATATGGAATAGTTTGTTGCAATGACAACAAATTGCGAGAAAAAATATGAGTTGGCCAGAAGAACTGAAGTAGGCAGAAATCCACGCCAGATATGGAATAGTTTGCTGCAACGGTAACAAATAGCGAGAAAAAATATGAGTTGGCCAGAAGAACTGAAGTGGGCAGAAATCCATGCCAATGGAAGAAGTCCTGGTGCTGAACTCTATAGAATGACCTTGGCAGCATGTGTATACCATCTATGGATTGAAAGAAATCAAAGGGTCTTTCAGGCTAAGCATACTGGCCATAGGAGCATTGTTAGAAGAATCATCCAAGAAGTATTCTATCGAGGATCGCAAAAGAGCAGACTAATTAAAGAACTCGATAAGCTGAATTTTTATCCTTAATAGCTTAGTCTGTGGAGAGTAATTAGAGAAGATTGGTTGTTATAGTTGCTAGGAGTGGCCTGTATTCTTTTTTTTTGTTTTGTTTTTGGAGTGAGAATTCATCCCTAGACTTTCCTTATTATTTGTACTAACTGCCTTTGGTAATAAAATCTTTTATTTACCAAAAAAAAAAAATTGTGGACAACACTTTATATATCTACCCCCGACCAGAAAACAACAAAAACAGAACATCTAAACATAACATAGAAAAAAGACAAACCTCCATCCTATGAAGTAGGCAAACGCAAGTAAAAGAAAATTCTAATTTCTTTGTTGACTTTGCAGCTAAAATCCTGCCCAATCCCTGCCATGTCCCATTAACTATTTCTTCAAAGCGTGTTTTGACCCACCCTGCTTGCCCGGCCTTATTAAGACTTTGCCTTGCTCTGCCCCATTAAGGTTTTGTCCCCGCCCTATTTGTCATCCCTAATTGGGGCGTCAAGTAGAAGCATATGTAACTACCTTAATAGTAAATTTCATTATGGATAACTTATGGTCACTTATTTTTATGCTATCAATGTATTTGAACTTATTTTATCATGTAATTTACATTATTTTCTAGGCTACCAAGTTAGACTACAGGTTCTGTTGTAGTTCACTTTAACTTGATGGAGAAAAAAGGTTTTCACTGTCATGGCACATAAATTTGAACTCTTTTATCATTTTGCGGCCAAAAACTTTTTGCGGCCAAACGCACACGCAAGTATACGGGTCGTCAAGTAATAAAGTGACTAAAAGTCGGATGTCGAACCCACGGGGACTTGTGATTAACTATTAACTAAATTAGACTATCCTAATTATCTAAACAAGAATTAAACCTAGAAATATTCGATTCAAACTAATTAAATAAAGAAATATAAATAATGAACTTTGAACAGAGAAAGAGCAGATTTTTATGATATCAATGTAATGAAAACGATCTAGGGTGATGGGCTATCTAACAATCCTATTATATTCTTCAATTGAATTGACTAAATAATTTGTCTAGTTTATTGGTTAACATGGTTAATATTGCTAATAAGAATCTGTCGAGTTCTTACTCGCCTATTCAAGCTAACCTAACGTCTATATGTCTATGGAGTTAGAATCAGCAAGAACGCATTTATAATTCCTGTAAATCAACCAAGCAAGACAATTAGGTATATGTCTATCCTAACCGCGAATCTATTCCCCTATGCTCAGGTTCAAGAACTTGCTCAACTCAATCCTATATGCAATCTAGAATTTCCACTTTCGAGTTCAACTCTAGGTTCGTAGATAATATTCAATTGGTGATCAAACAATCAAATAATTAAGTGCGGGATTGAATAAATAAACCAATATGATAAACTAAGAAATCAAAATCAATATCCGAATAATAACAGTCATGAAAGAACCACAACCCTAGAACGTGAAGTTTAGCTCCACATAGATATGGTAGCCAAACAATAAATCATACAAAGAAACATAAAAATTACTAAGTTTTGAGGAAGAAAGATGGAACTTGATGAATTCCGACCTCCACGGCGGCTCTGTGCTTGTGTTTTATTCTCAAAAAATGTTCTCCCCCTCCAAAATAAGTTTGAGACCCCTTTTATACGAGTTAAGGTCGTGTAGGACTGAAATAACATTGTCCGCGCCCAGCGCTGACCGTGGCGCTGGAGGCAATGAGCTTTTCGTTCAATTCCTTCACGTTAATTTTCATCCATTGCATTTAGAATGCAATTGCATTCTATATCTTTCTTGTGTTGTTTGTCTCCACTTGGGGGGACAAAAGTCAAAACCAAAGGGTGTCCTCTTTTTTTTTATTATTTTAATTTACTTTCTTTCTTTTTTTTCCGCGTTTTATCTAATTTTATCCCAAATTTTTTCATCTTCACACCGCTTTATTCCTATACAATTAAAATATAATATTAAGCAAAATAATATAACTAATACTCAAATGACGATTAAAAGTACCAGAATATAAGATAACAATGGGTAAATATATGCATTTTTGGCCGAATATCACATTTATCTTGTAATTCGTTGATTGGAAATGACCACCATTATAATTAGCAGTGGTCTAGTGATAGTCCAATAATAATACTAATTCTTTTCGATTATTGAGGTCTATATTAACAGTATTGGAAGGAACATATCTAAATTCATGTAAATCAAATATGTTTTTGTTGTGCTCTTTGAGTAATCATAGCAGTCATTTTGCCTTTTCCCAAAATGATTTATTTTTAAAAAGTAATTAACGAAAAAAAAGTAACTACCGAAATGAGATTGCAAATTTTGAATTTGAGAATAATAGTTTACGGGTGGCAACCATTCGAAACCAGTTAGTTACTTAACGTTAACCAAATTCAAAAATTGTTGATGCCGTTTAATTTATCTACCCCAAAACTATAAATAAACCAAAAAGTACATCAAATCAAGTATCCAATACTCCAAACTAATTCATCATCTTTGACTGAAAACTTCATTCGTGATCATTATTCTTCTTTTTTTCTCAATCTTCAACCCCTCTAAATCTTCTCAATTTTCTCAAAAAAATGGAGCAAAGTACTGAGGGAATTGGGATCAAAATCTACAGTGCATCAAAACGTGCAGATACAACAATATACCCTACTAATTTACCACCAGATAACGATGTTCCGATCCCTGAATTGCCTCAACCAGCAATTGG